CAGAAGCTGGTGGCCTGCTCTGTGCCAGAGCTTCAGAGCTGAAGGCAACTTTTACTGTGAAACAGAATACAGATTTTGCAAGTGCAAACAAATCATTGGGAGATTGTCTCATGCACCGCTTTAGCTATAGCTTTTGCAATGTAGGGATGTTGAAAACAACTCTGAGGCAACACTGACAGGACTGGCTGTGTGCTGCTGTTACAGTGTATTTACCATCTGGCGCTGGGTCTGGCTGCTGGGCCCTCCCCTCTGATCCCTGGGATAAAGGGTGCTCTTCATTTTGGAGGTAATCTGACTATAACAACAGCAGCTCTTGACATCAATGAAAAGTAACCACTGAAGGCTCAAGGATTTGCGCCTGCTGTTATTCCCCAAAGGGTTTATCAGGCACTGTCTTGAAAACAAGTATTTTATGTTATGGGTCAGTATTGGTACAGTAAGGAAAACCCTTCCCTCTTCCAGCTCTACAATAAGTGAGATTTTTGCTGGCTTCTAAACAGATTTGCTCTTTCCAGAAACAACCAGACTATTTCTTGCTAAAAATTCCACTATTTCTCTCTAATTCTAGACCTTCGTGTACATGCCTAGTCACATATTGAGAGTTATCTCATTATTTCCCTCTCCTTCCCTTTATTATAGATCCAGGAATAAAAGTTCTGAAGAGAATTATCTTTGCCTGCTTCTCCATCCTTTCATATTTCTGTTCATTTTTCTTAATTCCAGAAGAATTTGAATGCTCATTTTCTCCTTGAGTTAGTTTTAATCAGTCTTACACTTTTTCTAAGCACTTTCTCCAGAGAAATAGAGCATCATTACAAAATCCCCTCAGTTCACTCCTGTCATCCCAAATAACTGTGCCGCTGTTTAAACAAAGTTCTATTGCACGTGCCTGTCATTAAGAACAATAAATATTTCTTCATTTTTAAGATAAAACCTAAAAGCTCAGTTATGCACTGATGCAAGTTGCTGAAACAGGTTCCCTCCCACCTGTCTGCCCTTCCTGCAGACATTAGGATGTCATGAGTTGGACACAGAGATTTCTTGGCAATATTTACATTTTTTAGGTGGTACAGAAGAACAAAGGGATAGAGCTGTCTTTCAGAACTTTAGAAACAATAAAATCACCAAACTTACTGTCTTTTTCTGAACACACATGGCTAGTTACGCATAGGGAAACAACATTGAGATAGAAAGAATGTTTTCGAATTTAACAGTATAAAAAGTTGCACTTGCTAATAATGAATTATTTTTGTGATGGGCTTTTCAGATCTAGGTCTTATATCTTATGTTGTCTTTCTGTTGCAGCACAAGTCTTGTGTCCATAAAAGGTTGTGCAGATTATGATAACTACCCTAGTAAAACCAGTTTGAGATCACTGATAAATTCGGGCTGGTAGCAGAAAGTCAAACCAGGACTTTTAAAAATTCAGTATAAATTCTGTTGACAAAAGACATTCACTGTTGACAGCCTTGGTGCACAGAATGGCCTACGTATTTTTCCCCAAAATTTCACTTTAAGAAGAAGCTGACCTAAATGATTACTATTAAAGTAGTTGGATTAAGTTTGTTTAAATAATTAGGGGTCAGAAGAACAAGACTGAAACATCAGGTATTATTACAGATAATCTGTTTCCAGTCAACTCATTGTGCTTCTGTGTGTCTGTAGGAATTTGTACTCAGAATCTCTAATATGTAATCTGTATATGGAAATTAATATTTTATATTTAAATCATATTACACTAATATTTTATGTTTTAAAATACAACACCCAATGATAGAAAAGTTCACAAACCCCACTGGTTTTTAATGATTTTTTTTTAAATACTTGCACAGAATTGATTTACACGTCATCAGCCAAAGAAAATGATACTCTAGGTCCAGATTGATCTGTTACATTGCACTGCTCTGGTTCACTATGTTGTCTTGTCTGTTGGTATCTCCAAATAAAAATGGATTATACTCTTTGGAGTGGTCCATAACATTAATGATGAACGAAGATTAATTTTGATTCAGTTTAAGATTTGTTGTGTCCGGATGCAGAGTGTAATGCTCTTACATCCATAATTTTTGATCTAACATAGCTATAAGCTCCTGCTGCTTCCTAAATCAACTCCACTCAGTTACTGTGCCAACTAATGCTTTGGAAAACATTTCTACTGCACTTTGGCCATTCTGTCACATCTGTATGCAGATATATTTGCCCTTTGTTGTCTTATGCTCAGTTTGTTTGTCGATTGCCACATTTCCTTTGTGGCTCTGGCCCTACTAGGAACTGTATTCTCATGCAGTTAAAAATGAGTGTTGTCACTGGATGGAACTGTTACAACAGTACTTTTATTGCAGACAGTATCAATATTGGTATTATCAGAAAAGTGTTCTAGCTTGAACAGCTAAAAATTCTTTATCAGCCTAGTGAAGGTGATGCAAGCAACATTCCTTTTCTGTTTGTGTTTCTTTTATTCTGACACTTAAGCTTTCCTATGCAGTCTTTCCTTCACCGTCTGAGTTAGGTTATTTAGTAAGTAGACAAGTGTGATGTGTGGTTTTGCTGTGACACAGGTATATTTTTCTGTATGTGAACAGATGTTTACATATATAATTCAGGAAGAGAATATTTATTTTGCTCTGTACAATTCTCTGTTGTGATGGCCCTAAATTTCTTAACTTCCTTAATATGATGAATTCTCTGGTTTACTATTGTGGGGTCATTCTCAATTTAAGGTAATACAACCCTCTGGCCACAACTTAACTTGTAAGATTTATAGTGACTCTATTCCATTTCTCCATCTATCAGTATTTTGAACCTTGTTTTTCATTAGAAAAATACTTAGTATTAAGTTCTCTATTTGTCATGGGAAAAAAAAAGGAAATAAATGATAAATTTTCTACAGGCATAATATGCATAATATGCATAATAACTTTTGAAATGCAGCACTGAGTAGGCAATTGTGGGCATGGTAAGTAAAATTCAGATACTCAAAGTGCTTTTTCATAAGCTTGTTGAGAAATTCAGATTAAACTGCCTATAAAATTATGTGCCTCCTTGAGGTGTGCTGAGTCTAATAGCTGAGTTCCCTGACGTTTTTAAGATTAATATCTTAATATCCACGTAGTAATAAATCTGTAATTTGTAACCAAACCCCTTCATGGCTAATTTGTGTCCTGTAATACACTGTCAGACCACCATTTCTGCTCTTATCTATGTTTTTAATTCATTCATAGATAAACCCTACAGAAAGGTAGTTGTCATGGTTTAACCAGCTGGCAACTCAACCCCACAGAGCCTCTCGCTCACTCCCCCACCAGCAGGATTGGGAGAGAATGGGAAGGGTAAAAGTGAAAAACCTCATGGGTTGAGATAAAGGCAGTTTAACAGGTAAAGCAACAGCCACCCACACAAGCAAAGCAAAACAAGGAATTAATTCACTGCTTCCCAGTGTTCAGCCATCTCCAGCCATCACACATAATGATGACTTGGGAAGACAAACACCATCACTCCAAACATTCCCCCTTCCTCCTCTTTTCCCCCTGCTTTATGTGCTGAGCATGGTGCCATAGGGTGTGGAATATCTCTTGGGTCACTTGGGGTCAGCTGTCCCAGCTGTGTCCCCTCCCAACTTCTTGTACACGCCCAGCCCCCTTGCTGGTGAGGTGGGAATCAGAAAAGGCCTTGACCCTCGGCAAGTGCTGCTCGGTAATAACAAAACCATCTCCATATTATCAACACTGCTTTCAGCAGAATCCAAAACACAGCCCCATACTACGAAGGAGCTACTGTGAAGACAATCATCTCTATCCCAGCCAAAAGCAGCCCAGTACTTTGAATTGGTTGCTTGTCCATTTCTTAATTCACCTTAACCTCTAGTCTCATTCTTTGAGTATCCTTTACAAAGTTCAAACATTCAGCTGTCAGTGAAAAAAAAAAGAAGTTTCCAGCCAGTACAAGCCTGATTTGTATTGGGCCTTGCTGCTGTTCCCTGCCTAAATCAGAAAACATGTGATAGACAACACCAGAAACTCTTCTGCTTTTGAGGGAAGTGTCTCATCAGGACAGGCTGCTAGAGAAGAAGGCTGGATACTTAATAATGTGAATTCCATTTCTGATTTGATGAACACGAGTGCCCAGGTTAACCAGTGAGTTCCTAACCACATACTTTGAATTTTAATCAGTAATGCTAAAGGCTTTTCCTGCTTAATTCTGTATTTATAATACAGGTAATTATCACATTGGGAGCCCCTGGTGGTCTAGTGGTTAAGGGCACGGCGCTGTCACCGCCGAGGCCAGGGTTCGATTCCCGGTCAGGGACACTCCCCGGCAGATGGAGCTCGTTAGCCCTGTAGGCAATCCATCTACGTCCTGAGGACCTCGCTGCCACTGTCCAAGCTCGCTTGGCCCCGGCAGATGAACCTTAGGATTAAAGGGTGGGCTCAGTTCCGCGCACACTGTGTCTCACCTAAAAAATCCAGTGCGCAGGCTGGAAGGTGTAAAGACCTTCCCCGGATCTTCGCTCGCGAAGACTGGCCATTATTCATTATAATTATGACATTAGAAAAATAGTTAATTATTATTTCTTTTAGAAATATTAGAATGACAAATCTGTACAATTCATGTATTGGCTTTTTTTTTTTGTCGATGATTTGAGGTACGTGCAAAAACTACAGATGGAGTGACATCAGCAAAGGGATACCAGCTCCCATAGTAGTCTAATGGAGATAACAGGGTCACCCATTTCTGTTACTGTCACCCGAGGGTTTTTCAAGGTAATCTCTGTGTGAGTCATCAGTCTTTCAAAGCACAGAATGCTATTTCAGCCAAATCATAAAGGTAATACGATGCTTTGTTAGTGCTTCAACCGTGAAAGGCCTTTTAATGTTTTGTTGAGATGCACGTGCTCAATCTACTGTTATTTAAATTGTAGAGCAAAGTAAGAGCTGTGTTACATAGGGTTATGATTACTGGTAACAGTAGTTTTATAACTGTGTCCTTTGCTCCGTGCACAGGGAGTTGGCATCTCAGTTCATGGACATTTTCGAGTTGCTACAGAAAAGACACTTTTTGCAATGCCAGAAACAGCAATAGGTGAGTATTTTAACAGATTGTCACGTGTTAATACCTCTAATCAGGATGAAATGTCTTTGACTCAAAGCTGTGGTGGTCATGGAAGAATTTTAAAAGGGAATTGGAGATGACCATATATGGCAAGTATTTTCTATTAAATTAACAGAAACTTTCCTATGTTCTGGGCTTCGATCATTAAGGTTCCTACCTGTCTAGACTGATGCAAAGGCTGTCAGGATACAATATTTTAGAAGCAGATCCAAGTAACTAAGTCTTTGCTACAGATGTAGGCAGATAAAGTCTGAAGATCCCAGTGCAGCCGTTTCAGCTTTACCTTGGGGACTCTGTGAGTCAAACTGCCTGTACTACACAGCTGCTCTGCAGTGTTGATGAGACAGATTTTGGAATTCCAGCTTTTCTTGTAGATTATTAATGTAGACCCATTACAGTTGTGCAGAGGTTGTGTCTAGGTGAGATCACAGTGTCTTCAGTATTGTCTGGGTTTTTTTAACAGCAACGTGCACCTGTTGTGTTTTCTGATCTTTTGAGCCTACAGTTTTTTTGTCAGCTCTGAGATGTACAAAAGAAAATGTATCTCAGAGCTACATGAAGATGGAGGTATGGCTCAAGAAAAGTCAGTCAGATTAAAGTAAACCCTCCTGATGCAAGTGTCAAGGGAAATAAAGCATAATAAACCACCCAATATAAGGAAGCTCATTATCATTTTAACTCCTGAAAAAAAAGTACCAGAGCAATTCCTGCTGGCTGGTAAATCTAGTGTAATTTTTCTGAACAAGCAAATTTGGGATGAGAAAAGCAAAAGCTATTGTGGGCCTCCCAATGTTTTGTTATGCTGAAGGAAAACTCGGTAAACTAAATACCTTAAGCATTAATACAACATGAATTTGCTAAACTCTGAATTTCATAATCAGTTATTGTACATGAAAGCCATTTGAAGGAAACAGTTTGTATTCCTTTTTTTTAAAAAACTAAACAGAGTTCTTTGACACATAAAAATATGCTAATAATATAAGTACCTTCACTTTCTTCTTCAAAGGTAAAGATATGAGTAGTTTTATATTAACAAAAATTCTGTTCTTTACATACATTTCTTGTGTTGCCAAGGACTAATTTAAACAAAAATAAACTGTGAAGACATGTAAAGGAAAAGCTTAGAACTTGCTTAGGAAAGAAAGTAATTAACCCCCCTTTTAGGATAAATTAGAAGTAAACCCACTGAAATCTGTTTGGATTTAAAGGCTTAGCTCTTTTGATCACTGTGTGTACTCTTAAAATGTCTAGCTCTCTAGACACTGGATTAATTGATTGTTTCATGTGTTCACTTATTTCAGTAGGCATGACACCTTTGGTGTGAAATGAAAACAAAGCATTCATTCAGCTGCTACATTTTCACACAATTATTCTGCATTTATACACCACTGTAAATAAAAGGATAGAGATAAATATGCCACTTTGCAAACAGAAAGAAAAGGCAGTTGTAGATTGTAGGAGTTTGACACAGATAATACAAAGCAGCTTAGGTGTGGGAGGGTGTGGAAAAACTAATGGTGGGAAGAACAAAAGATGGAAGTACATTGTAAGAGGTGGGCTTTGAGATAATGTTATATTAATAATGGATACTTTTGTGTATGTCCCTCCTAAGTTTTTAGCTTTCTAGAAGTCATTTACTAATAAATTTCCAACCCCCTCTGCAGACAAGGTAAGAATGTAGTAGCCCTGCCTTTATTTCATGCTTGGCAAGTGCAGAGTTGCACCTCTGGGATTACAGCAAAGAGCACAGACTGCAGGTCAGCACCACAGGCATAGGCTTATAGCCTGGTCAGTCCAGCACTAGCACAGCTCTTATTTAAGTAGGAATTTGAGAAGTAATTGGTAAATACTATCCAAGGAAATGGAACACATTAAGGGAACCCCAGTAGCAAGGAGAAACATATGGGAAGCCTTGCTGAGAGGATTAAGAGAAATATGTAGAACATGGACAAGAGGAGTAAAATTATAAGAAAAATGGAAGACAGGGACATTGAAAAAGATACAGAAGCTGTAGCAGACTATGTTTATGCAACCAAGTAAGTTTAAAGTGTATTAGTTACATCTTCACTAATCCTGGTTGTAAATTCCTTAATAATTAAACCTTCATTCAATTTAGGTTTATTTGCCTCTAAAGCAACTTAAGTTAATCAACTTCACAGTTTATTTAGAATGGATACAGTCAAGTGGAAGGGCACTATGGATCCCAGTAGGAAGATGTCTTTTCCTCTAAAATTTTACTGGGGCATGGGGAGAACAGTGGTCTAGCATCGATATTATTCTAATTTAATTACAGCAAAACCAAGAAAGATTGTTGCTGTTGCAGTTCTGGTGAATGGAGAGAAGAATGTAATTGCCTTTTTACTCTGGAGGGCATTTTTAAGTCAGGTTTCACTTTGAAATGAGGAATTTTTTTTTCAGTAGTAGGCTACCCAAGGGGAGACAGATGAATAGAAACATAAAACTAAATAAAATCTTGGCATCAGTGTTTGATGGCTCAAAATGAGAATGTAAAATGTAGAGCAGACTATTGAGAATGGGAGTACAGATGAAAAAGAAGGTGAGTGATGAATTGGGGTTAATTGGGCTTTTAAAGTATGTCAGCAAGGCATTCAGCATTTCAGGAGAAGAGCTGTGTGTCTCAGCCTCTGGGATGAGGAATTAACCCATTAATGACAGCACACACATCAGTGGGAGTAGAATACTACAACTCTAACTGATAGGAAGTGACTCCTAAAACCATCTTTTCATTGTATGAGGAGCAGCAGAGCAAAGGGAGGGAATCAGAAGAGAAGCTGAGGGATGGGTTCAATATTAAGATCATTAAGAGGAAAACACTGAAGAGCAGCTGTCTGAAGGAAGCCTCCCCTTGATTCTATCCCAGGGGGAGGACTATTCCAGGATCACTGATTTCTCACATCTTAAAATACCTGTGATAGGGTCTTGTCCATAATACATACATTGATTCTTTTTGTGACTGAAAGCAATTACTTGTGAGGGAAAAATTACCACCTTCTATCAGAACCCCATTCAAACTCCTTAGATACATCTGCATTTTCCCAGTTAATATCTCTGCTTTGGCAAGTGTTCATGAGTTTCCTGTTGCTCATTTGTATTCTTTTTCATTTGTTTTCGTTTTTGTTTTTTCATTTTTCTCTCACAGTGAAAAAACACCACCACACCTTTCATTTCTTCAAAAGACTTTCAGTGTCATGAATGCACCATTGGTGATGATATCAAAGTAGTAACTGGACACTGCTTCTATCCATTCAGATTTCTGAAACTGATACAGTTAAGCTAAAATTTTCTCAAGTATGTTACAAAAAGTGTCTGAATTTGTTTTGGTGATGAATGTATATAAACAGAAGGTAGATATCTTTCAATTACAACTTTTAAAAATATTTAAAATTTTATTCATACTTTAAATTTAAAAAAAAAATCGTCCTAATTTGTTGATTTAAAAAATATATAAATGTAAGACAATCACTAAGTTGGAGAGTTTAATACTATTTTTTTACTTTCAGCTTAGTCATAGGCTTGTCAAAGAGCCAGGTATCACATTGTCTCTTGGGAGCCACCTTCAGGAAGACCCTGGCAATATTTTTGATCTATTATTGAATTCTCAGCCCCAAAAATTGTTCAAGCTAAGCTGTGCAAGAGGAACTTCATCGCTATTTGATATTTTTACCATAATAAATGATTTCAGAGAAAAAGCAGCATCCAGTTTGAGTTTGCACAAATTATTTCACAATTCTTTGTATCGCTTCTGTTTCTTTGCTGAGAACACACTTGATTTTTCAAGCACCTAAAAATATCTCAAGTTGTTGGCAAATAGAATAAATACTATTTTTTGGTAGATATTTGTAAAGTATGTGCTAGTATAAAGGAAAGGATGCAGTTTGGAAGGTGTTCAAGAGCTTGCTTTTAGGAAGGGATTTGATGACAGAGAAATGTCAAACCAAGTCAAGGAGAAACTTGAGCAAGGTTCTGTGCCTGTCAGGGAGATGAAAGTGAGACAAGAAGAGATACCTGCTAAGCAATGATTAGAACAAGTTGTTCTCCCGTCACTTTTGTTTTGTGTTGTCTGTTACAGGCCTGTTTCCTGATGTAGGTGGAGGGTATTTCTTGCCAAGGCTCTCAGGGAAGCTTGGCTATTACCTGGCACTGACAGGATGCAGGCTGAAAGGAAGAGACGTACTAAAAGCTGGCATCGCTACACATTTCTTGGAATCCGAAAAGGTAAGGTGCTGACAGTGCTGGCAGGGGCACAGCCCACAACCACAGTGACAGCTCTGAGGTTTTAGCACCCCAATATACTGTTACCAACTTGAGTGTCTGCAGCAGCACAGTTATATGAGCTGGCTGTGCCCTGTGAACAGGGGTGGGAAGATGCTCTCAAGCTGTCATTCTAACACTTGCCAGATAGTGACAGCTTTGCTTGGAAGAAGGAGCAAATGTTGCTGTCTTCACAGTTCTGCTGTTGGAAGGGCATGATCTACTCAGCATAATGGAAGTTGCCTACAAAATTGTACAGTTCAAGACAATAGAGATTTATACAACTGCTAAGTTTTCAGTCAAGGTAAAAACCCATTAAATGAATGTGTTTTTTATCAGTCTGCTTAACAGGCATTTGTTTCTTACAGTGCCTATAAGGAAGGGTAAAAATCAGTATGTTTCATAAAGTCAGAGTCAAAATGGTCCAGTAACTGGTGTGGACTTAAATGAAGGAGAAACAATGATTTGCTTTCCTTCTCTGCACGAAGACTCGTGACTGTCATTGTGGAGCTGGCAAAATACTGCTTTGAGGAGCATTGTTGCCACACTCCTTAAATCCAGATGGTTCAACACTGAAAAATGAACTCTGGCTCCTTGTATTGTTTGCTTTGTACCTCTTTAAGATCTGTCAGAAAGTTGGGGAGGGTGAGGGGAGTGTTTATGTACATACATACTGCTATTACCAGTAGTGTATTACCATAACAGTAATAATTCAAGTAGAAGATTTTGTTTTACTTACTTGTAATTAAATCTTATTTTTAATAGCTACCTGCCTTAGAAAAAGACCTGGTAGCACTGAAATCACCTTCAAAAGACAATATAGCAGACTTACTGAACTCCTACCACAAGAAGGTAATCTGATCAGTTATTGAAATCAAGCAAAATTGTTATATATATAAGGACATTCTGTTTTTATCTGTGCTACTGATAATTTTTTTTTTTTTTACGGTTGAAAATAATGGCTTTCCAAACTCTTTGACCTTTATAAAACACTAATTCGTAGCACTAGTGCCTACAGTGGTCAAAATCAGAATTGAAAAGTCTTTCTTCACCTTTTATTCATTTGGATACTCCAGAAATTCCTGCTGTGATCAGCTCCCTCTCTCTGTGTGTACTTCAGTTTCCAGCCAGTAGCATGATGAGGCAGAAAATACATTGCTGCTTAATTTTCACCCTGTTATTCTTGGACTTCTAGCACACTTTGCAGAAGGCAAAATAGATAGCCATGAGCAGACTGGAGGTGGTACATGATGACAGATGTGATCTGGGGAGTTACCCTGAAATTCAGGGATTCTGACAAATGGAAACGACAAGGGTAGAACTACTGGCCTAACCCAGAGGTTGCAGGAGTTATTCTGCCCATTAAATGCTGCACCGTTCACTTGGAAATGGATGCTATATTTCCATCCCAGAAAATTTCTCTACATCAACCTGAAAAATGTCTTGCTAGCTTGATGCACGTGGCATAAATTTTAGCATTATTTTGATGCAGACCATCTGCAGTCCAGATTTGAAGCCTTGAATTTAAAGGCTCAAGTTGTTCCTTTGACTTCTCAACTATTTTAGATGTTTGTAACCTTGAGACAACTGAAAGACTGAATAAGCACAGCAGTTATCAATAGGATAAGTATTGGCAGATACACCGTAGGAAAAGCACCTGAAAGCAGTATTTGCAGGGGGAGAAAGATGCTATTTTCCCAATGGACTAACCCATACATGGTGCTCTGTTGTGATTTTGAAGGTGATTATGACTGTATTAATACATAATTAGGAGCCCCTGGTGGTCTAGTGGTTAAGGGTGCGGCGCTTTCACTGCCGAGGCCCGGATTCGATTCCCGGTCAGGGCCACTCCCGGGCAGATGGAGCTCGTCAGCCCTTAAAAAGGCAACCCATCTGCGTCCTAAGGACCTCGCTGCCACCGTCCAAGCTCGCTTGGCCCCGGCAGATGAACCTTAGGATTAAAGGGTGGGCTCAGTTCCGCGCACACTGTGTCTCACCTAAAAAATCCAATGCGCAGGCTGGAAGGTGTAAAGACCTTCCCCGGATCTTCACTCGCGAAGACTGGCCATTATTATTATTATAATACATAATTAGTATTTGTGTTTGCCCTGTGTAAAAAGGAGCATAAAAATAAAAGTTTTTGGCTGTACAATCAGGGCCTATTTTAACTGCTTTGATGTGCATTGTAATTTTATTTCATTAGAAATAAAACTTCCTGTTTTAACTAGTTTTTAACTAGTTTGTTTGGCTTTAAAATGAGGAGTGTCTACTCTTGTTATTTTTATTTGGAATTACTAAGTTAATATATTAAGGTTAATTAGAAAAATAAATGGGATAAGCTAATTAACCTAGCAGTACTGATTATTCTGACAAAATAGAAAGCTATGAAATAGGAGTGATTATATGTTGCAGAATATGGAAAGGGAGGCTGTGTATTTTTAGTTATCAGAGCTGAAATGACAGGGAACCTTTCTCAGCTTCAGCTGCTGGTCCTGAAACATCTGCTTATGTCCTAAACCCCTTAATGTGAAGATGTGAAACATTTGACAGCCTTTCCACATAAGGCCAATGGATCTTTCACACACTGTAGCTGTCTAAATTAAACTTTGTAAAATGACATAGAAAAGATAAGGAAGAGAAATGCCTTTTTTTTTTTTTTTTCATTAAAAAAGCCTAAACATATACCTGAATATTTTTAGAGAAAATGAAGCTTTTTTTTTTAAACAATCTCAGGTTTTTGGGTAGATTTGTCTATACTGACTTTCTTAGTGTATTTTATAGAAATGTTTTGATAGAATAATCAGAATTACTTGTGTAAAAGATAACCACCCAGTCAAATATGCATACATAGTAGCTCAGAGCAAGCACTACTGCATTATGAGGCAACATCTTTAACATTCACAGGATAAAGTGACAATTTCATTTATGCACACTGCAAAACTGTAATTCATTAAAAATGTCACTGTCTTATGAATATTAACTGTTAATTTATGATAATTCTGTAACAGCATTGAAATTTTTCAGTACTGGTAACATTTTCAGTCTAAAATAACCAGGTATTTGCTTTTTAAATAGTGCACAGTTGATCAAGAAAAGAAGTTTGTACTCGATGAACACATGGAGAAGATTAACAGGTATTTAACAATCTTTCTTTCGTTTCTTATTATTGTGGATAGAGATAGTTAAATCAAGTAACAGTATTGTGCAGATAAGGTGAGAGAAACGACATCTAAGTTTAAATAACTGGTTTGTCTTTAGAGAGCTTTATCTGAAGCTCATTAAATATTTCACTTATCAGTGCATTAAGTACTTGAGCATATTTGCCTGAGTCATACACTGTTATATTAAGCAACCACCATATGGCATATTAAAATGAACATTTTCTATAGAAATTGGATGGGGATTTGTGAGAGAAATTGACAAGTTTAATGGGGAACATTACATAGCACATTTATACTCATTGGTTTAAGGCCATTTCTACCACTGCTTGGAACTTTTGAGTATCAGTAAAGGAAGGAGAAATAAGTGAGTGACAAGAAACAGCTGAAACTCTTGAAGAAGGATGGCAGTAACTCAGTTTAGAGACAAAAGATATTGACACCAAACCAGTAGAATGGAGCTAATGGCTAAGGACTTGATGTGCTATAAAAATACAGATAAGACTGATGGTAGTAACTGAAGTTTATAGATAAATAACAGTTTGTCAGTGAGGTTTATTGAAACACTAGAGATTGTAAAGGGAGAGGAGATGCCTGAAAAGCAAGTTACTTGAAAGGGAACAACATAGACCACATTGTTAAAAGCCAAATCAACTGGTTACACTGTTTCTAATGTCAGTGTTACTCACCCTTCATAGGTAAATAGAAGGCTGAGGCAGTTCATGGACTAATTTATTTTTCTTATAGTATTTTTTCAGCGAATAGTATGGAAGAAATTGTCAAAAAATTAAAGCAAGATGGCTCTCCTTTTGCCATTAAGCAGCTAGAGGTAATGTCTTCTATATTATTTTTGTTAAAAATTTTAAGTTTGGGTGTGTATTTTCTTATCGTGGGGCAGGCTTTATTCATCCTATTAAAATAAATACTGCATAACACCAATAGGACACTGGACTGAGATCCTCAGGTTCTCACATATTGTCCTGAGGGATTCTCAGTAGTGCTATTCAGATAAGAGTATTCTTCTGTAAAACCACACAGGACAAAACCACGTCATGTGTAACTGATTTTTTTTTAAATTCCTGAACAAAAAAAATGGCTGTTTTGTTGCTTCTTCAGAGGACTTTATAGCAGCTTTTTTCTTTCATGTGATTCATAAATGAATGTCCTTGGAGTTGACCAAAGCTTCTAAACAATTGTCTGTTGTGTTCAAGAAATAAGACTGTGTTAGTATTAATTGCTTTGCTCCATACAGAAATTTGTGGGAAAAAACCCCACAAAACAAATCCCCCATTTTCTAGCAGATCCAAGACTTATTAGTGTCAACAAATACATGTTTCAGACAAGTTTCAGACAGCATACATTCAGTGCTAAACAGTAGGATTAAGTGAGATTGTAGGATCAGATACTTAATTTCTTCTGTGAAAGATCTATAAAACCAAAAACTGAATTAAGAGATGGGTATCTTCATCTATTGTAAGGGAAGTGACATATTGAAAGAAAGTCACTATACCTGCTATTATTCTTGTAAGGGACTCCACTGAGCCAGTGCCACTTAATTCAGTCACCTTCTGATAGTATCTTATTGGCATTCAAGTCTATTGTAAATTCAGCCTGTAGCTTTTTGGATCATTATGACAAAACCAAGATGGTCTGAAAGAGACTGAATCAGATGTCAAATACTTCTATGAAGACTCTTTTGCATTTTAGTACTCCCCACTTCAGCCTATCCTGTCTCTTTTTCAGGCTTGTTCCTTAGCACCAATCCCCTCCTTTTTGTACAGAGAGTTTATTTATAGATACACTGGTGACTCATGTTTCTGCAATTACACCTACCCATTTTCTTGCCTTATTCCCCTTCCTTCAGCTTGATTTATACCAGCACCTCCTCCACCTTCAGCCTCATTGATATGCCAAGATAACTAGTCTAGTGCATCCAGCAGCTCCCTTAAGTGCTGGTTTCAGATCTTCCCCATTCCAGTGCTTTCTTTGACCAGAAAGAACTTGCCATTGCCATTTCACCCATGGAACCACCTGGCTGTACTGTGCATACCATTTTAGCCTGGTCTGAGCAAGGAGTTTCTAATTTAAGTGACAGAATGTGAAACTCAAAGGTAGAAAGGCCCAGTTGAAAGGTAAAACCAGCAAGAGCATATTACAGGAAATAAGGTGTCCAGTTAAGAGCTGCCACCCATCTGAGACCTACAGAGGGTGGAGCAGATTTCTTTATCTGCAGAAAGATATTGTTAGAGAGCTTGACCAAGACTGAGGAACTGTTGGCACTTGGAGCCAGCACTGGCTCTTTTCTTGATCAGCTTCTCTCCCAAGCACAGTGGTCAACATGCAACGAACAGAACCACAGAACCACTGCTTTTAAGGCAAAATTGCACAGCCTCCTGCTTGTGTAGCAGTTGCACATTTTCCAGCTTAACTAGGCAAAATGGGTCACTGCTGCATCAGCTGGTGTCTGGAGAGGGATGAAGAGTAATTGGGAGCCAGAAAAAAACATTACTGTTGATGACTGGAAACCTGCCATTTCAGTCTGTGGTAAGAAGCCTAGTGTCTGCAATGAAAATAATGTAAAGAGGCAAATCTTACCATCTGCTGCTTTTCAGTAGTGGCAAAAATGTCCTAATTATCAGGAAATGTCTGTTGTACTGTGAATGATAAAGAGCTATCAGTTGGGTTTAAAGGGAAGAAGAGTCTTGTTTAGAGTAAGAACAAAAGATGAGCAACAATAAGAATTACTCCTTTTCCCTACAACTCATAAAGCTTTAAAGGTCAGTTATTTTTTCTTAACTGGGTTTTTGTCTTTCTCCCCACTTCCCCCTACTGTTGACTGGCACGCTAGTAAGCGAAGGATAATCACGAGAACAAGATTTACAGCATTTGTTTGTGTGCCTTAAACACATCCTGTGTGTTGGGTGATATTTATAGCCTGTAGTTCTGTCAAAAGAAGGGAGGCAAGACCTCCAGGCTTCCTATCAGCAAAGCAACGTAGGGCTAAATTACTGCAGTATCTCTTGATGCCAGACAAGAAGCTTGGATAAATATGCATTTATATTTGATTTATTTTATTATTTTTCTTCCAAAATTTTCTTCTTTGAATATTGTCTAGTCTTTGCAGAGGTTCACAAAGCAACTACCTAAAGTTTGTTGCCAATCTCGCTACTATTACCTTACTATGCTATTTTGTACCAAATAAAACTGAAGTGCTGTGCAATACTAATGTCAGCTACACTATCAGTAACGTCTTAAGACCAATTTAGACTATAAATATGATATTCAAAAGTGAACTATAATTGCTTGTAACACCCATGTTCACTTGCCAAAAGACTGTTTGGAAATGGCTTTCAAACTGCATTAGATTCTCTGGTTAGTAGTAATTTGATAAAAAATGATGTGACCTCACTAGTTTTAGGCTTTCCACGAGTGATGGCACACATCCCAGAGATCTTGCTGATCAAAGTTTATGGAAGGTAGTTCATTTAGTGTAACAGCATGGTGGGAGGGAGGAGGAGGAATACGTGTCACACAAGTGAGCTTGGGGAAAAGAGTGCCATCATTTACTTCACAAGGTTTAAAATGTGGCAGACTTTAAGATGCATCTAAATCGAACAGAATAAAAATACCGTTAATGTCTTCCCCAGACTCTTAATAAGATGTCACCCACATCCTTGAAGTTGACTCTCAGACAGCTCAGAGAAGGAGCTTCCATGAGCTTGCAGGAGGTACTCAGGATGGAATACAGACTGAGCCAAGCATGCATGGTGAGCAAGCACCTGTGGCCTTTGTCCCTTGCCAGCCACAGGGTGGGGGGGAGCAGTTTATCAGAGGCTGAGTTTTATGTAGATTACATCAAGGCATCATAATTTATAGGTTTTAATTTTCAGTATCATCTTTGTGTGCTTTATATGCAGTTTGAAGGAGACTACATTAATGATGGTCAGATGGGAATGGTAGAGGGCTTCTGTTAAAAAGCTATGAGAATATAAATATATATGGATAGTTTTGTATTTGGACCATAATTTTAAAACTGGTGTTCTTGAACAGATTTTCTATCTAAATTACTTAGTGCTCAGTGCCTCAATTCCCAGCAGCAGCATGGGAGTAGTTGTTTATCACTGCCTTTCAGGAGCGCTGTGATAAATTTTTTATAAACAACAATAGATTTTAGTAGTATTTGTGCTAAGAACTGAGTACTTGGATAACACAAAATAAAGTGATCCCTTCAGTAAAACAGAGCTGCTAATGAATTACCCAAAAAAACACCTTACAAAGCTTCCCCCTGGCATCCTTCTTTTTAGTCTTGTCACATTTTAAAGTATGTACTACATGTCTGATTAAATGATTTGTGGTGATTAAAGTAAATGCTTAGAAGTAAAAATCTATCTAATTCTGATATGCTGTAATGCTTGACAGTATCCTTGCCATAGCTTTCCTGAAACTAGAATTGTTGCTCCACTGCTAGTGAGGCATCCTTAGGACTTTAAGTGTTACTTGTACCTTTACCAAAAAATAACTGCATGTTTTCAGGATTCCATTTAACTGCAAAGTGTTCCAAGTATGCAGAATACATCACAATTCCTGAAGAGGGGCTTTTCTCAGAGGATTTTCTGATCTGACACACCTTAGCCCCCATCACGCAAAGCTCTTTAGAAAAGAGATGCAACACAGAGAGAGGACTTGCACTGTGGGAACACTGGGTGATCAGCTACAGCTCAACAGGCTGATTTTAAGAGATGTGGCTGCATTTAATCAAGATGTAGAGCTCTTTAAGAAGTAAAGAGAAAACCTAGAAGAGATCAGTACAAGCAGGTTTTAACTGAATCTTGAGAAATTGCATTTCAAGCAGAAGCAGGGTAGGGGAAGATGGGATAAATTGAATCTATCATGTTACAAGTGTTTTGTTTTTTTAAATAATCTTTCAGAAAGGCCAAGACTTCTACGAAGGGGTTCGAGCAGGTAAGAATGCACACCAGAAACATTTCTCAGACTTAATAATATGCAAATTCACTATTGTGGTGCTTCTTTGGAGATTACTAGTTAAGTAGCAATCTCTAAACTAGATTAAGTGCATGCAGCAACACCCCAGAGAACGCTTTCCAGCTTGCCACAGTTTTTGCTTATTGGATTCCTGTATGGCCAAAATTTATTATTTGCTCAAAGGACGAGAGCTGTCTTGTTTCCTTTGTGTAATCTCAGTTTCCTAACATTATTTCTCCACCTGGTTTCACCACTTCATTGTGAAAGCTCAAAATATATTTAACATTGACAGTAGTGAGTAGCTGTATGTATCGTTTGTGCCCACAATAATGTTGCCACATTGCTGGTTCAGCCAGCTATGAGATGGTTTAAGACTCAAAGTCAAGAACAACTCTTTGCATAAAAAACTCTTTGCATTAGAACAGAGACTTACTTTCCCCCCCATGTCCAAAATATCTCAGTATAGCGGCGTCTTACGATTAAAAAAAGTATATTTGTAAACTTAATGCTAAATAATTCAGCATTTTAAGGCATTGGTCAAGGTAAGTAGAGGTAACGGTAGAGCAGTGGCTCAGCAAGTTCATCGGCGGGACAGACTCCGATTCTGTCCTTGATCCTACTGCTGATTCACTGTGCAGTTTGTCACACCCAAAGTCACATCTGTTAGGAACGGTAGCAATTATTTATGTACTATTCAGTACAAGATGAAATAAAGCACAGGATTTTCCAAGGAGCTTACAGTACAAGGCACTTGGACAGGTAACTTTTGGGTCAGACTTCTAATTCACAGAGATATATACTCACTCAAGTACGTATGATCACCTCCTCCTCATTTTTCATATGTATCTTTATAAGGTAGTTTAAAATCCACTTGAGAAATGGGTATTAGTGTTTGAGTGTTTGCTGTTGGTAACACTGTATTAAAGATAGCCTGAGGTGAGAGAAGCAAAGTTGGTTTGTGCAGCATGGAAAAAGTTTCTGATTTTAATTAATTAGTCTTTAGCACTTACTAGCAGAGACTTCTTTGAAGAATTTACCACACACATCAAGAAGTACGTGGTTTTCACAGTGTCGGTAATGGGGACAAGGAAATCTTATTCCTAGGATATTTTCTAAATCGGCATATCAGCTGCTGAAATGTAGTCATTCAGGAAGCGGCAAACTCAAAGTTTGAGAGTCAGAGGAACACCAAACTGAATTCCTTCTTGTAAGGCAGAAGGTCACGAAACCATCTGGGACTGTGGTACAGTACAAAAGCAAAAACCCTTTCAGTATGGCCAGGAAATACCCAAACTGCTTGTAAAGAAAGAAGCTGCAAGAGCAGCAGTTGGGAAACTTGTCTTTTGCATAGGATGATGTAGCAAAAGCGTAGGTGTCTCAGGGGAAGGGAAAAAAACAAAACCACCCACCAGAGATCAAGCTGCACTGAGGGGAATACCACTACTCCTGCTAATTCGTTCTTGAAGCACTTTTGTTCTCTGCTTACTGCATATATTCTCAGGTTTTCTGTCTTAGAATTGTTTCTCTTGTTTAAGAGGGTGTAGAATCTGACTCAAGATAATTTTTGTATTTGGGTCTGATTTCATAAAAATCATTATCCAACAACGTGCTGAGCATCCTTTTTAATAGGAAGTGAGATTATTAAATACTTCACAGGATCAACCATAGTGAACAAAAGTGATAAATTTGTTTTATAGTGGCTTTTTCTTTATTAAAGCATTACATTACAAGCATTTAAGAGCCAGCTGTTGACCCTGCCTACCACAAAAAGATCTACCACAAAATAATGAGTTAAAACAACCAAATTTTAGTTTAATACTGTTTTTCAGCAGCAATGGCCAAAGGTCAGGCTCTAATAATAGCTTTTATCTGCTTCAAACCATAATTTTAATAGGCATGCTAGGAAAGTAGTTTAAAAGCTTTTTAAACCTGCTTTGACCTGAGGTCAGAATTTCATTTTTCTTTCAGCCAGTTTTTGCAACCTAAAAATCTGCTGTGGCAAACAGTCCTTTCCTGTTTATGATGCTTGTGACTGGAGCTATTACAGAAAAGCTTATATGCCTTAAAGCATAAACCACATAAATCATATTTCAGCAGCATTTTTCTATATAATGGTAAATGTGGACTTTGAACATTATAGGTATCAGTTTTTTACCTTGATTTGTAGAATAAGAGGTAAACTAAGAAATGCATAGGTCTGTTTTTTAATTCTTACTGCCTAAGAAGAGGCCATTTCTGGTGTCTGAGCTCTAACACATCCAGGGAAAATACAAGCTTATCAGCAAATCTCAGGGACAGAAATCTGTTCAATTCCCCTCCTAAGTGTGCAGGAACGTGCACTTGAAATGGAGCTGTAAAGGTCTCCTACATATTGCTGATGCTGCAGAGATGTTATTTCTGTACAGCTTCTGCCTCCTCTCCTGCAGAGCTGGCAGATGTGAGCCCTACCCTGGGCACCCCAGGGCCCTGCAGTAGGCAGAAAGAACTTCAGGTGCTTAGAAATATCAGTGCTTTGACTGTGCTGAAGGAAGCTCAGCAACACAACACCAGCTGAAGTCTGACGAAGTCATGGCTACTGAACAGATTTTTATTAAAAAGGTAAAACACGAGAATAAAACCCTTAACACAATGTCTGTGCTCAGTTACTTTTATACTAATGAACTTCCCTTAGCCTACCTCAGAAGTCTTCAGAATTTTTGTTCCATTCCTGTGGTGATCCATCTCAAGCTGGAAAAATACGAACACAGAAGTTAATGCAGAAAGGGGATATTTTCATGATGTTACTAGAAGACAAATTTTTAACTTATAAGAACTAAAGACTTAAATGGAGAGACCATTATGAGCGTTCAATTTATCCACCAGAGTAAAACAAATGCAAAGAAAGATGAACTTGGTGGGACAGCAGTTCCCTGGAGGGCAGAACCAGCAGCAATTACTACAGCGTGGCAGAGGTGAAGCTGCAGTAACATTCACATGGACTTTTTTCCTCTAAGTGTTGGCTTTTGTGGATAACACTTTATTTTGGCCAGATTGTGAACTTCAACTAAAATTGAAGAAACTCAGTAGATAAGTACTACACCAGTGGGACAATTATGGCTTTTGACCCAAACCAATCAATGGTTTCACATCACCATGTTCAGAATTAACTTGGAGGATCACAGCTTTTCAAGTTACCCAGTTGAATAACATAGTAAAATCACTCTTCTGCAGGAAATTTCCTTTAAATATTTGCCCACATGCGTTCTGTTCTCTGGGAACTGCAGCTTCTATCTATATAATGGGTTACTTCTTAAAATTAGTGTTTATTTTTTGCTAGGGAGTCCTTAGTCCCCTATTAGTAAGTAAACAGGTGTAGGGCTCTGATTTGCTTTTCTCTTTGAAAATATAAACTAAAGAGTTATGATGCCTGTATGTCTTCAGCTACAAAAATAATAATCAGTGCAGTTGTCATCTGAATGGTATTTATTTTCTAAGTACTCTCAAGTGTTGGTTACAGATGGAAAAGTTAAAGAGAAGTTCTCAAGTCACATTTTTGACTTAAAACTGGTAAACAGGCCACATGTTTTGATAAGGCACAGTCTTTAGGTAGGCATTCTTTTCACTGAACTTAAAATCCCACCCCCTTACACATTTCTCATCAGGGTTATTTCTAGTTTACTCAGTAAGAACAAAGTTTGTTTAGAAAGACATGACAACTTACCAAAAAAAAAAAAAGCTGTTATTCTTCAAACTTGGGGGTCTCCATGAACATCATCTATTTACATGCCTTTAGAACCATCCTACTCTGAACTCTTTGTCAGAAAACAAACAAACAAAGTCTGTTCTCAGCAGAAGCACTTTAGAGGTGCTTCTTCTTCCAGCCCATCCTCTCTTGTGTGCTGTGGGCTGTGTTGGTCAGGAGGTCTCCCGGGACACAGGAGCATCTCCAAATCAGCTGCTGGTATCACTCACCTGAAGGCAATTTGTGTTGGGAGGGATGTTGAGCAGTTAGTGCATCCTAGAGAGCCACAGCTCCTGTAGCTGTTATTTTTTAAATTATAAAAATTTCACATTCTGAATAACATAGAATCTTTGTGGGTATCTTAAAGCCTGAAAGGTGATTGGAAGGATGTTCTGGAATTCCATTAATATTGATCATTTTTAGACACAAATTAGGGTAACTGTTCTTGCCGACATGTCTTCATTGTTCCTCTGATACAAGGAATGTTTTTTTGGAATTGATATTTTCTTGTTATACTTTTACATGTGATTCATTCACTGATCTATTTCCCAGGATACAGCATAAAGTCTATATAATCAGATTATTCAAATTGTCACAGTTAAATCTACACTGGTCTGCAGTATCTTATGGTATTTACAAATAAACATTCTTGGTTTTCCCACAAAGATACTCTGCTTTGCTCTTTTATCATGAATTATTTTATTACTAGTATATACAATGTGTTTAAATTAGCTTTAGGCATTTAACACCACTTTGAGGCATCTCCTGCACTCTCCAGAGTCAGATTTTGCATAGAGGTGTGAAAGGCCTTGTCCAAAAGGAGCATTGTAAATACAGTTCCCAGGTTCACATGGAAAAGCATCAGGGAAGAGTAGAAGGTCTAACAGACACCATGAATTTCAGCTCTGCTCCCTCAAAGCTTGGGATACGTCTGAAGTGATCCTTGTATCTTCAGGCAACACCCAGATATGCCTCTAGACAGGTCACAACTCAAGATTTTTTATAAGAGTAGAAATATATACGTTACAAAAACTCTGCCTTCTCCAGAGCACATTGATTTTTCTCCCCTCTGTGACCACTGCAGTGATCTGTCTTGATGCAATCTTAACTCATTTTAATTAGAGGAAGTTTACAGGTAACTTTGGTGTTTTTCTGTTCCACCTGACAGTGCTGATTGACAAAGACCAATCCCCAAAATGGAAGCCACCTGCTCTAGAAGAAGTCAGTGATGAATTTGTGGACAACTGTTTTAAGCCGTTGGGAAATGACGACCTCAAGTTGTAAAGATGAAGCCTACTGACATCTTATATATATCTGCTTAATTCTGTAATATAAAAATTAATAGTAGTGTGATAAATTTTGACAAGACTCTTTTTTAACTAGCCTGACATTCACAAGGCTAATTTTTTGCATTCAGGAACATTCTCTGTAATGAGGAAATAATTGTGTCTCTGGTTAGTAATGGGAAAAATCACTTCAAGGCAGATTGTTATTTTTACTGCTTTACACAATGATTAACATTTAATTTTTTTGCATCAACTCTTGGTTTAGGAGGAGCCCTTTGGGAAGAGAGTGCAGTTAAGGGGTGACCTAATAAGCAAGAAGTCAGGAGACCTCTTTTATACTTGGTTCTGTCACTGACCTGTTAAATTTGAGTTGTGCCTTAGGTTCTTCTCCATGCAATGAAAATAAAATATCCTTAAAGCTTTAAAACAGTCAGAGCTACAAAGGAAAGTGGAAGACAGAATTCATGGTGTTAAATAGCCTTTCAAATAAAAGCTCAGGCTGACATATTATTAGTCTGAGAACAAGAAATTGTTCTATTGATTTAACATCTGGTCATTATTCAGCCTTGCTATGTGCTCTAAACATTGTTTCAAATGTCATAATATTGCCAGAGCCTAGAGCACACTTCTGTTTGATTGTACAGCCCATTTTTTAAAATGCTATTAAGTCTGACTGAACTGCATAATTAGTTTTTCATGATTGCAAAAATTTGCAAGGTTCTCTTGGTCTTACAGTGCTGAAGAAACAACTGCCTCAGACCTTCCTGTGAACACCAAGCAGCACATTTCCTGTGCATTAAAGGTTGCTGGGTTCTGATACTAATACATGAGGTTATATGACGTAACCAGAGCCCCTTGCTAAAGTATAATCTTTATTTTTGGGGGGAGGGATTATTTTTTGTATTGTGTGTGCAACACACAGCTTCTAATCTTTCTTCAGCATTACTCCTACATGCCTTTGTAAGGTTCATCAAATCATATATCAGTATTTCTTCCTACTTGTTTCTACAATTACAGGCAGGTCACAAATAACAGATTTTGGCTTCTCTGATAATGAACCACTGAGACTGAAGGAAGAAAACTTCTGTTCAGATAACACAGTCAGTAACCAGCAATGGGGAAACAAAAAGGCAGAGCTACAGCTGAACCATAATGGAGTTTTCAACATTGGGCAGTTTTTATTACCAACAGTTATGGTCTGCAACGGCTTAAGGCTCCTTCCTTTCCAGGAGCTGTTGCCTGGAAACAAAGTCCAGGAAATTCAGGCAGCAAGGTGAACGACCAGAGTGACTTTCAAAAAATCAGAGGTGAGCAAAATCGAGAAAAAATGGCACCTTGCTTTGTTGCTATAATCTTTCAAGATAAAATTGTTAAAATTTCAGCTGTGAGTTAATGTTACCATGGACATATTTGTTATGTCCTTTTTTCCAAATGTACTTGAAAAATTTCATTAATACCCTTAGGGTAATTCCGAAAATATGACTTGAATTTCTACCTCAAGCTGGTTGTAAGAAGTATAAACCTCCCCCCTTATTTTTAAAAGTTTTTATATGTTTTACATTCTTAAACGATGGCTATTTTAAATTTATTTTTTAAAGATTGGTTAATTTCATTACTTTTGTACAAAAGGAGCGGTCTTCAATGACTACATTTAATGAGAAACACTAGTTCCCAGGGAGTAGGGGTCATTGCCTTCTCTGACTGTAAAGGACTTACAAGGTTTTAGCAAGAATATATTTCTCAATTCATAAACTTTGACTTGCATGTTCAGTTGCCTCCAAAATTTATGTGAACAGGACATACCCCAGGCTCATGGTAACAAGATTCTGTCCAATCTGTGCATTTTTATCAAATAAAAGGCATACAAGCAGATGGTAAGTTGAATTTTATTTGGTCCACAAGAAAATATTTTCCACAAAAAATATTGTAAAAATATATTGTAGTGTGTTTTATTTGGGAATACTGATGTGTCTTACTCCAGAAATGTCGATTTTACAAAGTTGTGCTGCAGTTAACGTGTTCTGAACCAGTATTAGAACATCAAGTCCGTCACATCACATCCACTCAGACTAATCTTAGGTTTCCTGGAGAAAATATAAAGCAAAAGTATTTTTTAACTCCTAAACAGAAGTAAATGGTTTTGCAGAGTTTGCCAGTCCTAAACTTGAGTGCCTTCATTTCACACCATCAAGTCAAAGAATCAGTGGCAACTTAGCTGGGAACCCACTGTACATGGGCTTATAAAAACTGTAGCACAGCATAGCACAATTTAATGGTAAGTAAACAGTTGTAGTATTATTTAGGTAAAGAAGTCTTCATTTTTATTATGCATTATTATTGCGCCTATTGAATGTACAGCAGGGCTCTGGAAAGGGATTTCCTTCGATGTCTCACCAGACTGTGGTACCGAACAGTTTTTATTTATTTTTTATTAAGGATAGGTGCATTATTTATAAGGACAGCATCTTGTAAAAGAGATGATTTTCCTGGTGAGAAGCTGCCTCCCTGTTGTTTGCAAGCTTGTTTGCTTTCCATTTGCTGCGTGCTTTCCCTGAAGTGCCAGTGTCATGGAAAGCAGCATAAACCAGCTGGAATTGCACTTCAGGCCACACTGAAGCTGCTGTAATCTTCAGGCGTTAATGAGGGAAGACGAGGTGTGGGGCTGCAGGTAAGTGGCTGGCTGGACCCACCAAACAGCACAGCCACCATCCCACACAGCAGCATCTCCAAATGGAAGCAGTCTATGGTGCATGTTTAATTCCACCTGGCTAACCTTCTCCTTTGGGGAAATTCTGAGTATTTATCAGGATGGATGCTGTGATCTAAGTTCAGGCTGGTTTATCATTCTGCCTGCTCTTGGACCGTGTGGCGGAGAAGCTGCTTTCAGAAGTGCATCTGATATTCCTGAAAAGTGTCAGATGCTAAGGCTACATCCAAAGGAAGGATTTGAGATGTGGCAACAGCGAGCACTGCAACACCCAACTCCCCATGGCAGCCACCAACCCTGTACCAGGGTCGAGGCAGATACACCTCATTGTGCTCTGAAAGGGAGTGCAGTTTTTATCTGCCGTTCACCTGCCTGGCCATGAATGGCTGTGGAGCTTGGGGGTTTATTGTTTTTTAATTACTGTGGGTAGCTGTGTTAACATTCTTGAGTCAAAACTCACATTGGAGTGGTTTGCCTTGTTTTGTAATAAAGCTTTGTTTTAGTTATAATAAGAGTAGGAATCTTTAATACTGTGGTTAAACAATGCACAACTGATATGTACTGACCTGGTCAGTGTTTTGGCTTTGCTTTCTAACTCACCCTAATACACAGAGGTTTTTTAGACAGAGCAAACATAGGGTATGATCTAATGTTTTCTATGCTGTAGAACTTCAAGGAACATCACTATTAGCAGTAGAATTTAAGTGAGCCATAATACCTTAGTCCCACTTTGCATATGGCTTTGAAGACAACAATGTTACTTCAAAGAGGACGTTACAGCATAAGCCGATTTTGTTCCCTTTTTCAGCAAAAGCCTGAGAACAGTCTTAATAGCAAGGTCCAGTCTGGTCATTGGGAATTAGTAGCAGTCCTGTGCTGTGTCACAAGCATTTTCCACCCTTTACTCTTGATAAAACCACTTCCCGATAGAGGTGAATTTGAAATGACTAAATTTGTGTCTCAGCATTTGCAAAACAGCTCAATTCATGGGCTGTCTTATGTCTGAGAATAAGCTAAAAATAACAGTTGACATGGTCCTCTCTCTGCTTGCTTCCCATTGCTTGAAAAATCATGCTTTGTATCATTCACTAGAACTACACGTACCTTTTAAAAATAGTAACAGCTTTTACCAGTATGGAAAGCATTTCTCTATAAAATGAAAACATAAAATGGAAACACTTTGATCTAGGAAAAAGAACTATGTCTTTTAAACTGGCCATCACAGAAAAAAAGGAACAAACAGGTGGTAAAACACCAAGCTGTTACAAGGCCTTCACTTCGGATAAAATGCCAGCAACAACGTCCCTTTAAGATTAATACAATCCATCCCATTCCTGATCTCTCAAATGCCAGTTGTGAGCACAGTGGGTCAGGCTGAGAGTCCTGGGGAAGCTGGGAGCAGTGTGTGGATAAAAGCCAGATAAAATGGGTGAAGAATGTAGCCCTTGAACTTTGGGCCTAAGGCTTCGTCACTAACTCAGTGCATGCAGGGCACTGCTCAGGGTCTGGGCTCCTGGGGCTTTTACTGGCACCACCACACACAGATTTACCAACAGATGAGCAAGAGCCTACAGAAGCTGAAGGAAGGTGTCCTGTCCCATGGGTGCTACTTTAGAGAGGAATCTTAGTGTGACACAGCCAGAGTTCCCATGAAATAAATTGTCCTAAAACACTGTCACACCTTTGAAGGTTCATTTCACTAGTTAGCATCAGTAGTTTTTGCACACCTATCTGGGTTACAGCAAAACAACAAAACCAAATCCCCCCCCAACCAGCACCCAAACAGGAAAATAAACCTAAACAAAACCCCAAACCCCCAAACCCAAAAAAACCGAACAGCTTTGGTCTGAACACAGTGATCAGATGTCATCAACCTATCTTACTGCAGGATTTCAGAGACTAGCTCTCATGCATTTACAGAAGCATCTGTTAATTATAATGCACTGTTTTGTCAATACTGCCATGTTTCTCACTGGCTCACCTCAGAGTGGAAGGTCATACGTCATCCATACGGTTCCCTGAATACTGCTTGGCTTTATGAAACGCTTGTCATTGCCTTCTTTATTTTGTGGTTATTACAGATTTAGCCAGGTCAAAGAATCAGAGTAAAACTTATGGCAGCAGTTACCTTTACTACATGCAGACCTTGGTTTCACTTTAGCAAAACGCAGACAAATGTACCAAGCACAGAGAGCTCTTCTCACCTGCTAACAGGCCACTGATCTTTTATGCAGTACATAGAAATAATCCACACTTTGTCACTCAGTGTCGCTGGGGCCTCTGTGGCACTGACTGTACAGCTGCAGGGCAGCCGCGCTCCTCTCATCTTCTTTTTAACCCTAACTTCTGGTCACATCCAACACATACAAAGACAGACATACTCAACATACAGCTGGTAACAAATGACACTTGATGAACAGATTCTACTGTGATCCAATTAGTTTGTTAGCAATACAGGTTAAAAGGCAAACTTTTTTTCTCAGCCTCTCCTTGCAAACCCATCCATTCAGTGGTAATATCCTCAAACCACAGCTGATTGTGCTTTATTCGCACCAGTACCACGTACAAACTGCTGCACAGACAGGCCAGGCCGCTCCCTGGGGCCAGGCTGGGGCTCAGGGCACGTCGCTCTCGATGAAGGGGATGTCACTGTACTTGCTCTCTGTCACTGCCCACTGCTTCACCGCCTGCTCCAGGATCTCCCGGGACAGGCGGTGCGCGTAGTCCAGCACGATGGTGCTTGAGGGACCCTTCTCGTCCACCTTCACTGCTATCAGAGAGGATTTCTCCCCAGCACATCCTTCGGTGCCTACCCCGATCTTCTCATCCTGGATAGCCTTTGAACCTTGACAGGCAGCCTTGGATTTGATGCATCCCATGGTACATTGGAAAACGCAGCTGCAAATTCAGTTCAACAGCATGTTTTGATAACCTGGAAATGCTTCCCTTGTTTAGTGCAGTGCTGCTGCTGCTTCTTGCCAGTGGCTCCAGTTATTTTCATAGAAGAGAACATCTCCTTTTGTGCTTCTGAAGAAATCTGTCAAAATAGTGTTTCACAGAAAGGCAATAAACAGTTTACCATTTTCAGTGAGCTCCAAGGAAAGCTAAATTCACTATAGACGCTTGTAGAAGCAGCTTAAATAAATCTCTGCACAGTGTGCATAAAATGTTTCTATCAGCAACATCCATCTACTACAAGCAGGGAAAGTTTGACCTGAATTCAAGCTGCCTTTGAATGCAACTCCCAGTACAGGATGGAAGCCATCTAGGAATGTAAAGGTCTTAAGAAATAAATAAAGTCTGTTTCTTCCAAGCTGACAACACATTGCTCTTTTCCTCAAATTGCAAACAAATACGTTTAACTCCGGGGACTGCTGCTGCTGCAGGACATAAACACCAAAACCAGCCCACTGAAGCACCACACAACCAGCATAACCAGAGCCTTGTGTCGTGGCCATCACACGCCCTTTGGGCAGGGTGACACTGATTCCCAGTGTCATTCTGCTGTTGCTCAAGGAGGCTCAAGCACACAGCCACCAGACGCTATTCACAAGGAACAAGAGCTGTTTTTGGTTTTTCCCTGGAGAGGTCAGGGAAAGCAGCAGCAGCCTGCTGAGATCAAGGCAGTTCCAACAGAGCCAGAGCAGCGTTCTCACTGAAGCAGGACAACTCTACATCTAGAGAAGGGAAAGTGACCAACAAAACACCTGACAGGGTTCTTTTGAACTCCTCAAGATCCAGAACTGGTCCACTCCAAATTCTGGTATATGTTTTTGTTTACTAGCCTACAAAGCTGTTTCTCAGGCTATTTTCTCTCCACAGGCAAAGGAGAATCTCACGATATGCCTGACTTTGCTTGGCATGCACTTACCCACTTATCAGAGTTAACAGACTGCCAGCCAAAATAAAGACTGTGCTGCACAGAAACCAACTGTTCCCCCACAGCTTCACCCAATGACGTCGTACTAAGGTCAGCCAAAGTTAAAGATTTTTTTGTAAATAGCCTTTGAAAATATAATCATGGCAAAGATGTTAAGCCTTACTTATTTCCTTTATACACTGGAGGAAACAGAGCCTCCAGTCCAGTAACCTGATCACAGGCAAGTATTTGCAGAGGAAATCAATCCCATTTGCAGGCAAATGGTGCTTCACATGTAGGATGGGACTTCCCTAGTGCAGTAGCTGACTCAGGGGAAGCAGCCTCCTTGGGACAAGCTCCTCTCCTCTTTTTGCTTGTTCATAAAAGCCTTCACTACCTGTCTGTAGGGCTGAAGTGACAGCACAGAGAAGGGGTGGATGGAATTCCTGGCAGAAGGTCAGACCTAAAGGGTTTCTGAAACCACAAAGCCCCTACAAATGCTCTAATACCTTTAGCTTTGTGTCAGAACATTTCAGTGTTGTAGAGGAACGTTTGTAAAACACTTCAGTAAAGTTCAATAAGTTTCTTTTGTGCCAGCTGAGATGCTGCAGCACATGCCAGTGTGTTTTAGAACAGGCTGTACAGTTAACAGGCCTGTAACACAAACCCTGCTGCCAGGACTCACAGTTTTACCCAAGACAGAGGAGAGCTAAGCTGTCAGTGAGATTTTTATTGTAATAACTTGCCATTAAATGAGTAAAAGGCAGGGTTAATAACAAGTAAAAGGCAGGATTCCCTTCACTGCACAAGAAACTCCATTTATCCCTATGGAGGCTTATAAAACCCCATGAGCTTTATACCCATGTCTCTCCACCACATACACTGATCAAACCAGAGGCCAAGGAGACTCTGAAAGCACTTCAGATACCTGAATAATTCAAAACTTGGTAATAGTAATATCTTGTGTATGTCTAATTTCAATATTTACCATTAATAAAACATTAATAAAAATAACTTCTACTTGCTCTTCTGGATAAATAGGTCACTAGAAGTCCACAACATGGCAAAGAATCATTACCAGCAGCTACAACCCAGCACTGCTGATACCTGACAGCTGCAGTCTTGACCCACCCAAGGTGATGCACAGCTTCCCTGGGAGGGACATGGGTGTTGCTGCCCAATTCCTTCTCACTACATTACTGGTAACAACGTATTTTTATCAGAGTTTATCCCTGACAGTTTACTTAAAATAGATTAAAAGATCCAATCTGAAGAAGCCAAGTTTGGAGTCGTAGTCTTTTATACGTTATTCTTTTTTTTTTTTTTTTTTTGGTGCTTTCTCAAGGAGGTCTGATAAACAGAAGCTAGCTGTACCTTATTGTTGCTCTAATGTTTCCCTCCTACAACGGGAGATCTCTGACACCAGCAGATGAGTTAGTGTCCAGAGGAAAGGAGGGAATGTGAAGTAAGGAGAAACTCCCTAGGGTCAGCATCTTCCTCTGCAGGATTTACCTCTGTTCCCACCCTCTTACCTCTGCCTTTTCCTTTGGGCTAAACCAAATGTTTGCGTGACTGTCCTACAGAGAGGAAAGGGTGGGCTATAAAGCTTGCAGTCAGCAAGGCATGCAATACAAATCAATTGTTCCAAATTGACTACTAGTTGAACTTAAAAGCAAAGTTATTGACCCTAGTTAAAATCCTTGCCTGTTGCTGATTCCATTATTTATAGAGCTCAGTTCTTTCCAAGTTGCTGCAGGAAGTTTTGTAGTTTGCCTGCTCTACTGGAGTTAATAATTGTTGGCACAGAAATGATTGCAAATGAAGCTGCCCTCAACCTTCTGACTGCTTCCTTGTTTTTCTGACAACCATTGCTTGCACACACATGGTAAAGAGCTGCTTAAATCCCCACTGCCTCAATCTCATCTCCAGGGTGTTCTGACAGGGATTTTAATGTCTCTACCATTCCTCACAAAGCTCACACCCTCGGAAGGAAAAACAATAAACCAAAGTAAACCAGTTCATTTTACTTCCGGCACGATGTTTCATTCAGTAACTGCACAAGGCAAAATTGTCTGATAGGAGCCTGTTTCTTTCAGCGTCCAAGCTTTAAGCTGTTGCCAGTTATGTCTCAGAAACTACTGGTTTGATGCTCAAGCCAAAATCTCTGCAGACACAGTTCTGCACGTGACAAGCTGAAGGCAGAGGTCAGGGAGCTCAGCCTGCTCTGCCACATTCTCAACTGGCACTTAGAGCAGCACAATCAAAAACCTTAACACATCTTCTCCTTTTAAAGACTGATTTTTCGGTAAGTGAAATGTTGATTTAATTTATCTGAAAAACACAGGCTCCTGATCGTGCTCGATTTCAGTTGGCACGCAGTCAAAATGTTTTCAAGTTCTTCAAACAACAAACATGGTGTATTTACTTTAAGGTCAGGTGTTGTTTCACCTATTATGTTATTTACTACATGAATACCCTGTGGTAATACAAGGAGAGAGAAAATATTGAGTAGCTGAACTCATCTGGCATGTGAGGGCTAAGCACTGTCTCTGCCAGCCTGGCCAAGTGCTTCCTGCCAAGGTAAGTTCATTTCTAACCTACTGAAGGAAACGAAACAATGGTGAAAGAATGCCTGCAATTCACTATTAGGTGATATAAAATACAAGAAAAAAAGCATTGATAGCAACTGCCATTTTATTGAAAAAATAAGACTTTTCAAGGTATTAAACTAATCAATAAAAATAATTACACAAGGTTAAACGTGAGCTATCAAAAAATAAGAGTTTCACCTGCCCTCTTCAATACAACTCCATAGGATGAAGGCAGGCAAAAGAGAAAGAGTTTTGCTGTTATGCAACATCTCTAGCTATCCCAGGCAAGCAAGTTCCTGCTACAATTTAAAGGTTTTCGATCCTTGAGAACCTTGGAAAAAATCTTGAAGTTCAACACTACACTGCAAGGAATTGCTTTCTGTAACACTTTCTGTTATAGCAGTCACCAGATTAAAAATCAGTCATACTTTTCAGAATAGCTTAGTGCAGCTTTGCCCAGCTGAAGACAGCAAGTAATCTCTGCTGGGACAGGGCCAAGCTCCTCGCTTCCCAAACCTTTACATCCTTGTAACCCTCCTCCAGGCAGTTCCCTCTCAGTTCTTCCCTCGGTATCCACAAGAGAAGCTCAGTGTGCTGCTTACCAAAACCACGTCTGCTTCTAAGGGGTTGTCCCCCTTGTCCCCAGTAGAGCACAGACACCTTCACTTCTGGGAATCTGCAAAGGGAACCCACAAACAGAACTCAGCACTCGCCAAGATGTCAGAGGTACATGTTATCATGCAGTTGTGAATCTGTAGTGCTGGACTTGCAGAGGTCTGTTTGCCTTTTCTCATACACAGAACTTGACTTTGACAAAGGTAAAAGGATGATACAGCACTTAATAAATTAGATTGAATGACAGGCTGCAACAATTTATGTACAGCACCTAATCCCGGGTGCAGAGTGGGGCCACTGCTCGGGCAAGTAGCTCCTCACCTTATACAGGATGCCAACCTCCTTCCACAGCAAATCCAGTTAAGGATGACTCCAGCAAGGATATAGGAAGGGTAATGTGCCCCATCTCCTGCCTAAGCCTAAAAGTTCTCTCCTGCATTCCCTCCTCCCTCTCAGGACTTCTGCTGAGACCTGGACCTTGACTGTCCAAGCACACAGGGAGGACATTCAGTTAATCCCAGTGCTGCCATTAGCATGGAGACAACAAACATTACTCTGTAACAGAGATATTCAAACTCTGAGTTTGGGCAGGTGACCCCCCCCAGCAGAGGTGAACCAAGCAGCACTTCAGCATCCACACCTCTGAACTGCACCCAATCTCATTCCTCCATGTGACAGTGCAGAGAAACAGAAGCCCAGAACACCCTATTGCTGCCTCTCCCTAACTCGGGAGCACACACGGTAACTGTGCCTTTGGATACTCTGCAGCTTTGAACAGAGCAGCGGCACACAAATGGCAGAGGGATGAATCACTCCCTCGGTGCACAGCATCGCCTCCATCGCTGCAGGACTCAGAGGCTCTCCATGCAGAGCAGCCCCAGGCAGGGGCTCCCAGGGCAGTCCAACCCACCAGCTTTCATTCCTGCCTCTCCTTAACACCCAGCTTCCTGCAAATCCCTGCACTGTATAACATTGACTGTAAGGACTCCTTCTAATCACAGGAAAATGAAGTTTAAAAAAGCTCCAGTTATTTTAAGACAAGCACAGTACTGAAGATCCAGCTAACTCAGGCAATCACTGAAATACCCAAATACCCCAGAACAACTCAGGCAATGAAAAGCAAAAATAGAGCCCTCATTCCTCACAGGGCTGTCCCCTCCCTCTCATGCTGCTTACTGCCAACAAGAGATAAGAGCTACAGATTGGAAAGGGCTGGATGCAGCAACCACAAACAATTGCTGTACAGGATTAGCATGTAAGTGAAAGTCTCCTGGTTATCTGTCTCAGGGTACATGCTGGAATTTCAAAGGCTTGGGTTTTTTCCCCTCCGTGTCCAGAACTGATAAAGGTTTTCCAGGCTTTCAAGTCACTTTGTAACTGAATGGAGAAATGACACACTTGCTTTTCAAAATCAGGCACTACCTCTAGTTTACTTTAAAAGGCTTTTCAATAAGAGCACAGTTGATCACAGAATCATTTTGGTTGGGAAAGACCTTTCAGTCAAGTCCATCCTTTAACCCAGCACTGCCACATCCACCACTAAAACATATCCTTAAGGGCCACATCTACATGACTTTTAAATACCTCCAGGAATGGTGACTCCACCACCTCCCTGGGCAGCCTGTTCCAATGCCTGACCACCCTTTCAGTGAAGAATCTTTCCTAATACCCAACTTGAACCTCTCCAAGCACAACTTGAGGTCATTTCCTCAGGACCTACTGCTTGTTACCTGGGAGAAGAGACCAACTCCCACCTGTCTACAAACTCCTTTCTCAGTCAGAACACTGAATTACTTAATGGAGGCAATTTCCATGTCACATTTCGTCTCTCAAGCACTTAAATAATGCATTTAAGGAACATGAAAATCTCAAAATTAGAAGGAAAAACAGGAGAGAGGAAAATCTTCTTTCTTCACTTTGTGATTTAAATGCACAGTGGGAATGGGTTTTTTTGCTGTTAAACAGTACAGCTGTGTTGATATGAGTCTTTATGCTGACAAACTCTGGAAGCCTAAAACCAGTACTGACTTTAAAAAAAAAGGCAATCCCCCCTCACAAAATCAAAAAAAAAAACCAAACCAAAACAAAAAAAAACAAAACCACCATCCCACCCAGCCTCCCCCACCAGACACACAATCACAGAAGGAACAAAAACAAGTCCTTTCTGTACTGTTCTGGCAATCTCACCCAAGCTTTGGGAAGTAGCAAGCAAAGATGAAGTACCAAAAGAAACCTTTGGGTGAAAATACCAACAGTTCAGAGAACAGCAATGCCAGCAGGTACAGCCCTCAGCAGCCACAATGTTATTTTTCATCCAGGAAAAAGAAGTCTTGTTAAAAGCAAAGAACACTGTGTGCTTGGTAGCTGTCTAATTTCATGAAAGTAAAACTGTACCCAGTCAGCCTGTCCTGAAATCCTCCCTCCTCCCTCCAGAGCGGCAGTTTATTCACCAGAACTGCACACAGCTCAGAGCAGCCTGAAGGCAAGAGGGGAAGAGGATGCTGAAAACTTCTTACAGGTTCTGCTCATATTTTAACTAAGCTGCTCATCCAAACAACTCTATATGCTACTATTATGTCCGAATTTGGACAGAAATACCTACAAAGTATTAATTCTGCTTGATTTTTCCATGTCGGGTGTTTTTTTTTCCCCAATGTCTCAGAATACCAGAAGGCAAATATTTACCACTACAGACTCTGCCAGACCACAGACAAGAGAGAACATTAACATAACCTACCCCTCTGTGAAGAAGAGCAGGACGCCTACTGTTGACAAAAGCCTGTTTTCTAGATGGGTAAGAGCAAACCAGTGGATTTCCTTTAGCAAGCACTGACCAAGGCTATAGAAGAAAGGGCATGAAGAAGATGCAGAGTTTCTCAGAAACCCCATCTGCAGGAAGTTTAGCCAAGACTTAAGGAACCCAACTACACAAACTATAAAGGAATGCCTATGGAAGGGAAAGCTACTAGTTATAGAGAAGATCCAAAACTCTCCAAGAACCCAAACACAAAATAATGCTCTAAACTGTAAGTGAACTAAGTGAACAAAAAAAAAAAACAGAAATGGACATGAAGTTTTTGATGTAGAGGCACAGCTGTTTCCTTGCCCTACATAACATTGAAGGTTCAACATACCCTTCAGCAAAGCCCACAGTTCTTATAACCCCCCCACCCCCATCTGTAGTAGCTGCAAATCCATAGCCTGAAGACCATCTCCACAAACATTTCCCCACAGCAGGGGAAAATGCAAGGGGTACCACCAAAGGTGTCCGAGACTCTGGCCAAGCCTCACACTGAGGTTAGACTGCTCTAAGGCAGGTCCAAACAAAGTGGCCTCTTGGTTTGTTACAACACTGTAACACTGTTTTGAGTCTGTTTGTTACAACACTGTCTGGAGTGGAAACTGAGATTTTCCTACATATGCACCGTAAAACTTCCATCCCAACAAGTCAGTCGTGGAGTCACAGCCTACCTATTAGCAGTCCCCTTCAGGAATACATTAAAACATCAAGCTACTTACACCCAAGCTAAAGCTTAGGATCTAGTCTTGTTTGTGAAGGTGCATTACTGTCCTCCACAGGTGCCAGGCAGAGACAGAGCGCTGCAGACGGCAAGGAGGGATGCACAAATCCTTACGAGCAAGAAAGCCCCTCCTGCTGCTATCACTGGCTGCTGCGCAGCCTGGGGATCCTGCCAGCAAGAGCTGATGAGCAGCAGCAGCAGCAGCAAAAACAGTGGATCGGTGTCTCAATCTGACAGGGTCGCGCTTTATTGTAGTAGCTGTCACAAGATTCAAATACGACCATATGGAGCTGCAGACCATGAGGTATGAATGAGGTACTCTGGCTTGCTTTGTGATGCCCTTAGGAAGGCAAAGGTTCTGCTGGATTAACACAAATGAAAGTCAGAAGGAAGGAGACAGCCAGGATGTGCCCAAGATCAGCCAGAGAAAAGCACAAGAGAAGCAGCACAGAACGCCATTCTGTTATTTAATCTCCAGAAGCCAGATGTAAAAAAGCAAATCAGACTTAGGAAAGTAACAGGAAAGCCATTTTTCCACATCTCCCATAGGGAGGTGCAGGAAAACACAGCTCCACGTTTTAAAATCCTAACTATTGATTGGCAGAAATCATCTGAGGACTAAGAGAACAAACTGACAAGTTAACAATCAGATGCTCCAGCTGTACAAAAGCTGCCCAGAATTGCAACAAAGAACTATGTCAGCCTTAAAAAAATCACTCTGTCTCACGGCTCTCCCCCGGTATCTGTTTCCTTGAATGTCATCCCTCCAAACGTGCCAGCTCCTACTTGTAGCAGTCGTCGCCTTCGCGCCTGGGATGCAGGGAGGCCGCCAGCCAGGCGAGGCAGTGGTGCCCCGCACAACCTGGCAGCGCGGCCGGCTCTTCCCCAGGGTCCTGCCCACAGAAACACCTTGTCCCCAGGGCCACGAGCATCACCAGGCTCTACCCAACCCCCTGTGCAACTTGTACAAACCAAGGTGATTTCAAAGCAAGAATGTGCTCAGCAGAACATAATGTTCAGAAGAAAACTAATTTGTATGTACCTGAAGGTTAAAAATGCCACTTTGTTAAGGCTACAGTATAAATCCCTGTTTTTTACCTTTTTCCTTTTTTTTTTTTTTTTTTTTTTTTTTTTTTTTAAATTCCTATATTTAGGAGCCTAATTTGGACTCCTACTTCCTGAACTGTGAGAAAGCATAAGACATTTCTAAATGCTTTACAATTTTTTGCCGTGGCAGATCTTACACTACTAAATTTGTATTTTATAACGTGTATTTTATAATTTTGTGTTGAAGCTTTATTAAAGGTACTCGTGGCAGAACCGGCAGGGGCTGACAAACCCTCACACCACCTCGGCCAGCAAACACACAAGTGTCACGTCTTCCCCGCAGCTTGGAGAGGACCTGCCACGCCGTTTACCTTCCCACTCTGCATCATCCCCACTGATGTCCACCTCACCCCAGGAATTCCCACAGGCGCCCCACCGGAGCTGCTCAGTTTCGAGCCACTCCGTGGCCGGCAGCCTCACCACGAGATGATGGGAGGAGTAAAGGCAGGACCGCCGCCTGTCCTGAAAAACCCCACCTCAGAGCCCGGCTCTCCTTCCTCTCCTGCGCAGCTCGGGAGGCTGCAGGCCAGTCGTGCCCACGGCCGCGGCTCGCCCCTCATGTGGGCGCATCCCTCCCCTCCGGCTCCCCCGGCTCCCGTAGGACCGCGGCCCCGCACCTACCGGCGCGTCGGGGCGGTGTCCGTGCGGGCAGCATGCTGCGAGCGGGGCCCCGCCGGCACGACCCCCGCCTGCCCCTTCCCCCGGAGCTGCCCGCGGGGTCCGGCCCTCGTCCCGCCGCCGCCGCCGCCGCCTCCTCCAGGCTCCTGTCCCTGAACGGCAAAGACGCAAACCCCACCGTCAGAGCCCATGCCGGCAGCACCCCCCGACCCCCGCCCGGCCCCGCGGCGTTCGCAGGGGTCGCGCCGGAAGGAGCCCCGCGTCCGCCCCGCTCACGCCGCTCCCGCCGCTCCGCCGGGCGCTCCCCGCCCTCCCCGGGCCGGCTGCGGCTCCGGGCGGGGCGCGCAGGGGCAGGAGCGCCGCCGAGCCCCGGCCCGGCACCTGCCGCGCCGCCCCCGCCCGCCCGCACGGGCCCGCTGTGCCCACCCCGGCCGCATCCCTCCGCCCCGGCACCGCCTCAGCGCCGCAATGGGCCCTGGCGTTTAAAATGAGGGGAAAAGGTTGGGGGACGGGGGGGGGAATCACCCTGGCAGGAAAGCCGCCTCTCATTGGCTTCGCCTTCTTTAAGTCCTCCTCCCCCTCCACTCGGCCCTAGTGAGGCACATCTGGAGCGCTGTGTCCAGCTCTGGGCTCCGCAGTACAAGAAAGACGAGGAGCTACTGGAGAGGGTCCAGTGGAGGCCACAAAGATGATGAAGGGTCTGAAGCATCTCTCTTGTGAGGAGAGACTGCAAGAGCTGAGCCTGTTCAGTCTAGAGAAGACTGAGAGGGGATCTCATTAAGGCATATAAATTTCTCAAAGTTGGTTGCCAAGAGGACGGTGCCAAGCTCTTTTTTGTGGTGCCCAGCAGCAGGATGAGGAGCAATGGCCATAAACTAAAACTGAAGTTTCACCTCAACATGAGGAAGAACTTCTGTAAATTGAGGGTGGTAGAGCAATGGAACAGGCTGCCCAGGGAGGGGCTGGAATCTCCCTTTCTGGAGACATTCAAAACCCACCTGGACATGTTCTGTGTCACCTGCTCCCGGTGACCTTGTCTTGGTAGGGAGGCTGGACTGGATGATCTCCAGAGGTCTCTTCCATTTCTAATGATTCTGTGGTTCTGTGAAATGTGGGGAAGCCTGTTCAAAGGATGGAGTTGCCATATAAGAGCTTAGGGCCATTGCAATCCCATGTTCCTCTCAGCCCTGTGCCAGCACTGAGGTGCCACAGTGTGGTGAGCATGTAAGGACCAGTGAGCATTAAAGTGAAGGAAACAGTGGGAAGGGCTGGGGGGTGAGGCCTGGGTGATGCTTCTCTGGTTTTATCCTGTCAGGTAGCATCAAATTATGTACAACCACAGAAAAATATTAATTACACCAAAGCTTTTTAAGAAACGTCTGTGCCCCAAAAGAAAGCTTCCAGAATGAAGGAGCTGAGCAAGCTAAAACAATATCCTACCTAAACCTCCCCTGGCACAACTTGAGGCCATTTCCTCTTGCCCTATTGCTGTTACTTGCGAGATCAACCCATCTTGCTACAAACATCTTTTCAGGCAGTCTCCCCTGAGCCTCCTTTTCTCCAGAGTAAACAACTCCAGCTCCCTCAGCCATTCCTCAGATGACTTACTTTCTAGACCCTTCAACAGTTCTGTTGTCCTTCTATGGGCATGTTTCAGCACCTCAGTGATTATTGCCAAGCAGGTTTGTAATTGTCAAGTAGGTTTCTAATGTATTTCCAGTTAGTCATTGGCCAGCCAAGGAATTTCTCATGGTGTTTTCCAAGCCAAAAAAATCCCCACTACACTGGTAACATCAGTCAAGAAACTATACAGGCACAGAACAACAGGGACCACATCCCTCCAGTCTCTAGTGCCCTGGCAAACCCCAAGCCCTCCTCCCCAGCCCAGAGAGCTGGGGGCAGGGAGGGGGTAGCCACCTTTGTACACCTCCCCAAAGAAAACCCAGTAGCTCCTTGTACAAAAGGAGCTTGTACACCACACGCTGCTTATAGCTGCTGTGATGACTTCTCAACAGCGCACAATATCACACTCAGTACTTGTAAACAGTCCACTGGTGAATAAAAAACCTGCACATTTTACTAATTGCTGCCTTTGGGGCCCGGAGAAAGCAGTCTGCTGACAAGTGCTGTGCACAGGGTTTGTACACACTGCATCATTTCATCCAGCTCTGATGGGAATCACACTCCCTTAGAGACCGATCTGGTCCTGGGGCGCAATAGGGGGACCAAAGTTGATCCTCCCCACCAGCAGCAGTTCCAAGGGCAGGCAACCTTGGCTGCTCATCAGCTCCAGTTCCTCACACATGGGATTTTTACATTGAGAGTTCCCCAGCCAGGATTAAACCCCTTGGGATCTAAGTACACGCGTGCAAGTGTTTGCAGGAGCAGGTCTGAGGAGCTTGACCCAAAGCCTATTAAAGCTGGTGGCACTATGCCCTTTGATTTCAAGGAGCTTTGACTTGGGACCTGCTGACCTGGGTAGAGTTTGGCCAGATGTTTTATCACTGTTTTAGTTCACCTGGAGGTGGCTGGAGGAGAAAGTCAAATGAACTCCTATTTAGCCCTAAAAATTAAAACAAGACAGAATATTGGAAAGGCACAGTTACCTTGCAGTAACACAGCGGTATGATTACAACAATGATTTTTAAACAAGTTTTTAAACAGTTTTTAAACTAGAATTTTGTAACTAAATTATGAATATCTTTGCAGTGGTTTATGGCTCTTTGTTATTCTAGCCTGGTTTCTAATGCAAGGCTCCACTTTTAACTTCAGCTCTTAAATGAGTGCAGCTCCCCACAAGCTACTTTAAGCTGTGGGGCAGATATTCCACAGGCTGCAAGCACACTGCTGGTGTTCAACTGGATCACTTCATTACATTCCAGCAGGGAATACTCTGGTACAGGTGCACCACTCTCCTGTGTCACAACCTGACAACAAGCCTTGTCTCTGAGCAGCAGCACCTCAGTGTAATGTGGGGATGGGGGACAGGGGGTTAGAGACAGGGAGATATATGTGGTGAGAATTTTGAGCCAGTATTTATTTCTGGGTGCCAAAACAGATTTAATATTTTATTAGTTGTGGAGTTTGTGAGACAGCTGATTATGTTGGGCTCCAGCAAAGCAGTCAGTCTTTTTTTAAATGCAGAGCATCCATTTGAAATGACTACTGCCAGGCACAGGCTAGGCAGGAGATGAAATATTTAGCTCATAAAGCATTTTAGTGTGCAGGGCTGGGGCCAGATGCGGGTGCTGTGATGTTGAAAACTACAGTACCCAAATCTGAGGTGCCTCAGCCCCAACTCAGAAGCCTCAGAGGTGCAGCAGTTGCCCAGAGAGTGGGGCTGTGGGGCCCTCAAGGTCCTCCACCCCCTGCCAGGGTGCAGGAACCTTTGCTGTGCATGGATTGGTTTGGGAGGAGACAACCATCACAGCCTTTCCTGGGACTCAACTTCCCAGATCATGCTGCCTCTTGCACCCTCTTTCCCCAATGTCAGTGGTCAAAAGCATTGTCCTATAGAGGTAAAGAAGGCACTGTCCCTCCATAGAAAATTGTTTTGGATCAAGTTTGACTCTTTGTTGTCATAAGATCTGATATTTATTCTATTAGCTCTTTTTATTATTTACTTTTTAGAGTCTGCTAGATCTTCCTATAATATAGTCCAAACCCTCTAAATACTTGGCATGCCCTGCTCTGTGTGCACATTTTCACCCTGCTGGGGACAACTGCTTGGGTATCCCCAGAGCGATAAAAGCACTTTCTGATAAGACAGATGCTGCATCAATACATTTGCAACGGGGGAAAATGGTGCAAGCTGAACGACAGGAATCACTGTATGGTGTTAGTATTGGCAATGCTGGAATGGTAACCAGACTGGACAATAGCTGTGCTCAAGCTTCAGAGGAGCTTGGGTAAGAAATTGCTAACATACTACTTTCAGGTTAAAATTTGCCACTTAACCTCTGTATCAGAAGACAAAGTTTTAATGAGTTTGTCTAAGGGTAACAGAATAAATGAAATCTGGTTTCTCCCTCCCTCTGATAGAATTTCACAGTTCCTATCCTCTTCCTTCCACCTGCTACCCTTCACAGTTCTTCCATGTCTTCAACCCCCCCTTCAAGCCTTCAGTTCCTCCTCTGTGTCCTATAAACACACAATATCCTACTTTCATTTCTGTACTACTCATATGCTCTTCTGCTTGGCAATGTCTCAGTTTCCTCCCATTTCACCTGTGCCCAGTTTATAGAAACTCCAGCTTCCTTCCGCATCTTCAGACCTGTGATGTGTGGCTGGCCAGGTGGGCAGCAGCAAGTAGCACATGATGTGGTTTAGACAAGGCGCTGCCCAAACAGCCAGTCCATCAGTCCTACGCACCCACAAACACTGGGTCAGATTCTCCCTGCCTTCCTTTCAGAAAGCAGAGAAAATATAATTACTTTTCCCAAGCACTTCTTAAGTTAATTTAAGAACCCATTGACATGGGATGTGGCATTTAAAAAAAAGGGCTCCAAAACTCCATGGATCTGTCCAAATCCAACTGACAACTCAGTCCCCAGTCAGTGGTCACTGGCTGAACCACTTCATCCTCACTCTGTTTCTCACTTAACTTTTTAACTATACATGCAGACACCAGTATTAGGGAGGGCTTTACTGAGTTATGTATTTCTAATTTGGCTGAAGAGGAAAAGGGAAGCCAGGAAAAATATCCTCTGCCCCAGTAGCTCCCGCCCAGCATGCCCATGATCACGTGGTGACTTTACAAAATCTATTTATATGAGCAGTAATCCACTAACTGTGTATGGGTTGGAAAAATGTTACGCAGCCCAAGAAGAATCAATATGGAGATGAAAGACTAGAAAGCCCCAAAGATTGTTGTTGTTGACTAAAATCTCCTGACAATCCAAAACCCTGACATGTCATGACCACCTTGCAATAGGGTATTTTGACAAAGTTTCATAATCAAATCCATGATGCGAAGGAGGTCGCAGTGTCACTGCAACAAACAGCTTTATAGACTAAGCAACAGCTGCTTAAATAAGGGCTCTATTTTCAAAAACTTCATTGATGGAAAAGATGTTCCTTTCCTCAGTTACGGATTTTTCTCCTTTTTACCTAATTCTTGTTTCATCGTGCACTGCTCTCGTATTCTGTGCACAACTGAGATTTACC